AGCCACTTGTGGACGGTTGGTTCCTTCACAGCATCATCCCCATGAACTGTTCTGAGATCGGCAAAAATTTCACGGCCATTCTTGCCGAGTTTCGAGAGAAACTTGATTACGACGCGCTGCTCTTCAACGGAAGCGGGCTCCATGCCGACGGGGTTTCGTTAAGAGGTAACTTCACAGATGGCGTGACAAGCCAGTTCGCACCGCACGGCGGTCAGACCAGAACTGAAGCATTGTTAGGGACATAAGGAAGGGGTCCTGCGCTTACCTGGCCTCCCCACTCCTCTTTCTCGCATTCCAGAACACTTTTATACGAACTTTCCGGACAGACCTCGTATTTTACATTAGCAGCCGCTATCTTGCAGCTCTGCCTTGCAGCAATTAGTAAGTATATTAAGTTACCTATGCGATAAATTAGGATATAAGCTATTCGTGTACCAAATTTTGTTAGAACCCAGTTTTTGCGTAAAAGAGTAACAAACATTCATTCAATTATCATTACAAACTTTTGCTTATTATCATACCTAATAGGATTGGATACTTGATAATTATTTAACATACAATAGCCGAATTTTTCATACATAAGATCTCTTACAGTCAATCTAAGCTGAAAGAAAGAAAGAAAAAATTAGCAAAATGTATAACAGATATTTTTATTTCTTTATATTATTATATTTTATTTATTTAAACTTTAATGCACAGTAAAATTTAAAAAACACATTTGGCGGACTTAACACCGGGTGGTGTTCTCTACCAGTCAGCCATTGTGCAAACCGAGAAATACGTAAATATTATTTTTCAACACAATTACTTTTTATATCTATAATCGGTCGACTCAATTAAATACCTATTCCTAAAAATCTTTTAATTACAACATTCTTCGGAATCCCCGTTTTTTATTTTCCATTTAAAAATAATATGAAAATATAATTGCGATAAAATTATTTTATGACAAGGAAGACATTCTTAAACAGGCGTGACAGATACGTGTGTATGTAATATTCTTGATAACAGTATTAAAAAATATATATAATAATGGTAAATTTGTCATGGGGAATGAAGTACCTAACCAAATCCACGTAAATCATTCATATTACAGCAATCTAAATAAATGATATAGGGAGCTATTCAAACGAATTCTACACAGCTGCGTCTGGTGCGTATTGCGAACGTACCAATGATTAGTGTTGTGCTGAGTAAATTTAACTCGAGTACTAGTATAGTATTATATTATCTGTGACTCGAGTAATGACACGAATATCTAGAAGGTATCATATAAGCACCTACTTGTAGTACTCGTATACTAGTCGCGTGTTTATCATTTCTTCATGTTAATTATTTATATTTTGATTCATTACATTCTTTTTAATTACTAGAGTAAAATTATTAAATGATTCAACATTCTTACTAATATTATAAATTTAGAAGTGAGTTTGTTACTTCTCAGCGTTTTACCAATTACTATAAAATTTGATATATATTTGACGTACTTATTATACGAAATAGAAAAAAGTACATAGGTTACTTTTATCCCGGTCAGTTAATATAATATATTATTATCTTAGTCACATGGACAAAAATGCTGGTAAAAGATAGTTTACTATAATTTATTAATACTAGTCTCGTATAGTTTTATAATATGCTTGTTTGCTACCTTTGTGGTATAAAAAATAGTAATTAGTTTAACAAGTAAGATTTAGTTGAAGAATTAATTAAACTTCATAAATAACTCGGACGGCTATATAAATAATTCGAGTATTTGTCCGAATTCTCAAACTCGAATTAAGATTCGATTTTTTAACGAGTGCCAATATAATCGAATACTACATAATGGTCCATTCGGCACATCACTACGAACGACAGACGGCAGATGGTTGTGAAAGCTGCGCGGGCGCAGGTAAGGGATTCCAAGAACGCCGAATATAATCGCAATACGGGGAAGTGGCTCTCGAATCGCATGCGCACACCTGCGTGCCTGGTACAGTGCCATGTTGCTATACTACGATCAATTTAAACATCACGTTCAAACTCCAAATTATGACTGATTGATTTCCACGTTATCAATTGAAGTATGCAATAAGTTGCTCTAAGAAAAACGTGATTCACTTTTCACGCGTGTCCTTTGTAATAGTCATTACATTAATAATTATTATTGTAGAGTCAACGAGTTGCCGGTAAAAGAGAAGACACTATAATTTATTATTATTATAAAATATACTAGACTTTTAGAACTATATAAGGTCGTTCAGACTACAACATTATTCGCAAAATCTATGTAAACTGATCAATGTAACCTAGTTCTAATATTTCTAGAAAAATATGAATGATTTTCGATAAACATATCAATACTTTTACAAAGTAGTATAGGTACCTCTTACCTACTAGTATTTTACTTTTTTTTTATGATAATGGAATGATAACCATGTTTGTACTATCACTATACTTGTACGCTGGTGGGGCACCAGTGAGGGATGACACATGGAGATGAAGGCAAGTCAGCCCATCGTGATTAATTCACCTGGAGTTAACGTTTAATTTCCAAATGGAACCTTGTCAACCTGATAGGATTTACTAGCAATGAAGTTGACCTTATTATCAAAAATTCCTTTCCCCCTTATTTTAATGACTTATCAACTTAGTAACTAGTGCTCGGAAATTAGGCGTAAACCACTAAATCAACATACCAACTGCGGGTCAGTTAAGTATTATTCTAATGTATTAAAATTTTAATATATGGGTATGTTTTTAAAAAATAAACAACAAACAAATATAAAAAAAAAACAACGAAGATATGTATTTTTATATATATGTTATATGAATAAACTTTGCCAATTCTGAATAGATTTTAATAATGTGAAAATTAAAAGTAACGCTATTGGACAATATAAACTAAAAGTTACATCCGTTTGTCTAGTGATGGGAACACTACATAAGCATAAGTGTTGTCATGGAAAGTCACTTGGCTAACCGGGTCACGCGTTACCAGGAATATGCTTATCTAGTTTAGTTCTTCATATGAACATCAATGTGTTTAACTGCTATTTTAATAACTTTAAGATAATAACAAGTTAATTATATAGATAGTTATAAAAAGTAATTTTTATTTTTGTATAAGATATAATCTATAAGTATTTCACTGTTTATTCGTATATTGTGAAAAGCTTTCAGGTAATTATGCAAGATTTTTAAAAAAGAATTATAATATTCTTATATAAGTATGTATTTGTTTTACTAATATTTCTTAGTTTTTATTAAAATATCACTGATTTAATACTTCATTAGTTTTACCGACAAACGTTATTTACACCCTATCGCCACTACAAGGTCTGCTCGAGGCTTACTAGGCATCAAGATAAAAGCTAAAAATAAATCTATGTTAAAGCAAACAATACACATTCACAAAATTTCATTAAAATAGATTGAGCAGTTTTGGAGTTTGGCATGAATGAACAATTATGTAATAAAAAAAAGAACAGATTTTCGTGCCTCCGGACAAACTGTTTATAATTACTTTATTAATATAATGTTTCTATTCAAAGGTTACCAAGAAGTGTACGCTTTTAGCTTTTAGTATGGCTCATTGTTTTCTCAGTGTAAGATTTTCTTGTAATTGTTTGTTAAGTACAAGTTAACTATTGTAATCTTTTGGAGGAAACAATAAAGTTTTTTTTTCTTTATACAACTTAGAATGACAAACAAAATGACGGTCTGCCTGATGGAAAGTGGTAACCGTCGCCTATAGACATGAGCAGTACCATGAACATAACAGAGTATACTGTTTCGTCCATGATACTCTTCATACGTTGCCATTCTTAAGGGCTAAAGTGTTATGCTTCTGTAACTTGTAAATTCTATCTGACAATATAACACTGAAGATTGATAACTGCAACAGAAAAGCGAACATAATTCTAGGATTATGATAAATAGGAAAATTATAATAAATATTTCTAGGATTTGTTATTCAAAAGGTAGGTACTTTCAGAGATAGTGATTTTCTGAATAATACCATTATAGGGAATCTTATCGTTCAAGCGATAACTTAGTTCTTGTGAATGCAGCACGTTATTACTTTTCGTGGTAACAATTTATACTCGTACCTATTTTTAGCTACATAATATAAAGTTATCTGATACATCGTATATTATGCTGGAAAGTTGGAATATTTCTATGCCGTACGTTCAGTACATTTAATGTTTATTTATTGGAATATATTATTTTCTAATAGTTACAAGGCATATTATTCATGTTTACTTATGTATAGCTGGTAATTGCCCTTTTATTGTCATATATATATATGTAGATGATTGCATCTATTGTAATGTATAATGTAAGAATGTATTGACATTAGTTGTGTGTTTCTCATCTCGTTACATGTTATAAATGTCCTTTAGTAAACAATACATACCAACGAGTTACGTAAATACATTACGACCTCTCTATCTACATTTATAAATTTATAAACATACTATTTTAATCTCTGTTTTTTTTTTTTTTTTTATTTACAGTCTATAAATTACAATAAATAGAAAATTTCAATGGGTGCCAAAAATATAAGCAGATATTTATGCCACAATAATTGTTTCTGTTTGAAAGTTGGGATACGGTAGTAAATTATAAGTAAATTATATGGTAGGTGTCAAGGCATAACACCGTAATTCTCAGAAATGTAAGGGCTACCATGGACGAAATGTATATGCCCGCAATACTGTTCATATCTATTGGCAACAATTAATGAGTACCTTACTTAATAAATTACGGTATCCAACTATTTTTGTTTTCAGTTTACCAGCCAGTTATCAAAGATAAATTTAATTTCAATAATGACTACGAATTATGACCAAAGTACGAAATACACTGAAAAACAAAATTTCTTATAAATAACTGGTTGATTAATTGTGAATGAATTCTCAGAACTTCGTGAATGTTCAATTTTGTATAGCCTCGCCGTTCAGTCGTCCTCGCTCAATCCCCTCTTCGGCTACATTTGAGTGAACAAGCGCAAAGCAACCAACGTGCGTGTCGTGTGGCGTTGCCGAGTTCAAACGCTCGTCGCATTAGTTAGCTACGAGTCGTGTGTATTATAGTGACTAGCATACAAATAATTTATATTATTATGATTGTGTCGAAATCTGTTCATCATTCCGTTTTTGTGTAATAATTTATAATTTTACAAATGTGTCATTTAAAATCAATCTACTAAAAAACATTGTTTAGTACTACTCTGTGTTTCCATACAGATGACATTTCATGATTTTTTAGTGTCATAGACTTGACGTGAAGTGAAATAAATGTGGTCTTTATCATAAAAAAATATATTACATCAAATTTTTATTTCTAGTGAAATTTTTATTAACGAGTTTTCGTTTTGTATATAGAAAAAAAAAAAATTATCTGAATCAAGTATATTATTAATACAAAGGATTCAATATACCTTTCGTGCAGAATAATGTGTTCGTATAGAAAAAATAAAACAATATTGTGATGTGATTTATGTTTTGTGTAAATTACGGATCGTGGCCTCTGGAAAGACACTAGTGGATTCAACAGTGCATCAGAATAGGCCTGTAAGTGAGCACTGTGAAAACCAAATGTGCGTGATACAAGTATTAGCGTCGAAAAAAAATCTTTTAAATATGACTCTGGCTGCGAGGTTGTCTCCACATAGTAAGTTATTTTTTTATATAGGCACAAAGCACTAAACTACTATATTAATTATGTTTATAAAGTATTTAAAATAGTAAAATTAAACTAAACATTATTATATCGACTCGTGTAAACTTCAAACAATAAGTTAGGTTATAATTCTTATCTTCATTCACTAATTAAAATTATTTACTTTAAATATTAGAAGTCATGATAAATTAAGTACGATTTAATTGTGACTTAAAATTTATCTTATACAAACATGGTAAGTAGCTGAACATTTAAATAACTTAATAATTTATAGTGTATTGGATGTTTTATGATGTGCCAAACTTTTTTCATTTTGAGGGGGAAAAAAACTAATTTTATTTCTTAAATCATATTCAAAAATGTAAAAAATTGTGTAGTCAAGGTCCTTGATAGTTTCAATTCCAAATTGATCTTTTTTTTAAATCCTGTTGTATAATAAAAAGTATTAAATGGTATAAACCAACCTCAGATTTCATTTATGGTACACAAACTGATTTAATATCATGCATATCATATCAAAAACAGGTATTTACTGTGTTTATAATATATATATATATATATATATATATATATATATGTATGTATAGTGTAAACTTAAAATAAGTTTCTGTTCAATCAGTTGCCTGATACAGCCTGGAATAAATAATTCAATATTATTAAATAATATAAAAAAATGTTATTTAATCACAATAATAAAAAAAAATTGTGATAACCTAAATTACAGGAGTCAGTGGATGCAGGTAGTTTAGGACCGTTCCTTACGGCAATCTGTGAGGGAGGCCTATGTCCAGCAGTGGACATATAATGGCTGAAATTATGATGGTGATAAAAAAATTCTTTTATTATCAATTTTAATAATTGATTGACTAATGATTTTATTGGTTATTAAAGAAATATTAAATTGATTGTTAAAGAAATAACAAAATGCCTGTGCCTTTATTTCAGCTCTTTTGATGTGCATGGCACAATAAATCCTTATTCATTGTTCCAAGATTACCACATCAGTCACACATATTTTGAGTAGCAAAAGCAGTAATATATAATTATAATAATAGATGACCTATTATTTTTATTTTTTCTATTCATTTTCTTTACTTTTAATCTAAGACACAATGTTATAATAATCTTAGTACAAAAGTTGATAATTTATTAAAATTAATTCTTTTTGTTACTCTAAAAATACAGATTATCACACAGAAATACACATGCTCAGAGTAAGTAGCTCAGAATAGGTAATTTTTATTTCTCTTTTGAGAGATATTTTAGTATTTCATTATAATCTTATTAATATAAGAAATTTGGAAGTTTTTCTTTATAGAGTTTTGGTAATCAACACTGAAAAAGTTGATTAAAACTTCAGACACACACATCATAATTGAACATAAAAAAATACATTTATCCTAATTTATGTTAGGGAATCACAATGTATAAATATTTTTTTTTTTTATATTGTGAGGTCATATCAAGCTTCTATTTACCATTTCCTAATTTTTTTTTTTAAGTAGTTATCTTTAAAAAGATATTATGTGCCTAGATAGGTACCTAGTTAAATTGCTGTATTACAAGTTATTTATTTATAGTCTTTTTGCAGAGGTATAAATGTTAATAGTATTATATTTTTGTTCTTTTCCTGTTGTGTGTTTCCTAAATACTAAAATTAAATTCTCCCTTGTTGCAGATCCATGTCTAAATGTAGGTGTACCAGGGGTCGGCATTGCCGCCAGCTGTCCAACCTGCAGGAACGAGTTCCTGCTCAGCCTGGGCCCTATCACTGGCAAGTGGCCAGTGCACGCCCACACACCTGCCACCTCACCGTTCACTACCCGGCCAGCATACTCACCACACTCTCCACTTTATGCCGCCACATGTTCACCATTCTACCTGCCACAATTCAAAGATGAAATCAAAAGGCTAAATGATACATTTGAAGTTTTAAACCTGTCAGGATGGTTCTACGAGCGATTAGATTTACAGGTATGTTCATTGTAATTATTACTTTTTTTTTTTATTATAACTAGGCTCAACCAATTGTCTTATTTGACATTTACTTTTTGTATGGAAAGTTACATCTTTTTATCTCAGTTAATAAATAAGTTCTAATCACATGGATGAAGTAATATATATTAGCAACTTTATATATTCAAGATGTATCCTTCATGTTTATTTAATTTACCAAACATTTCAACAAAAATCAACAATATTATGTTTGTATAATGTTTTAATTGTTGCTCATGATTTAATTATAAGATACATTTTTTTTTTATCATACATAAATTGATAAAATCTTCTTTATCATTATAATAAGCTATTATAACAAGTCAGTCAGTCCTATTATCATGAACTGCTAAAATTTATTATTTGAAATATAATACATGTTTAAAGTCAACTATTGTCTCTTTAATTATGTCTAAGTATTTATAGACAGAGGAATTACGCATTTACTAAAATAGCACATAGAAGCCCAATATGTATGAGATACCAAGACTTGTTTATGACTATCTATCATTAACTTGGTTATTCATAATAAATAATACGAAAACACCAACATTGAACTATAATGTGACCTCAGACATTAACCAATCGAGTTCTAGGAACAAATTCTTCCTACTTTATGATACTAGGAAACTTGTAATTCTGTGCCAAGACTGTACGTTATGATAAAAGACAAGCTCTACATTATTCCAAAGTAAACAAGACTCTTTTATTGTAGATAGTAATTTTATAATCATTATATAATAGATTTAATTTTTTTTTTTTTATAAAAGATACACCAACAATATGTTCACAATAATTAAACAGACTGTACTATGTTATTAGTAAGTACTGAAAAATGACTATTCAAAAATGCTTAAATCTAAGTTTACTTGAACAAAAACATTTATTTCTTCCTTTCTTTTTTATTTTTTCTTACGTCTTTGTCCTTTTTGATAAAAAAAAAATTCCAAATCGGTAATCAGTGATATGTCAGTCATCAGTGATTGTAGGAATAATATATGTTAAAATTTTCATTCAATAGAGTCATAGGTTAAATATGTAATATTAGTTCTAACCCACGATTTTGTATGTTAGATTTTATATTGATTGACCATGATAAAATGAAATTATTCCTTTGTGACCTTCATGCCATATTCTTATTCAAGTTAAAATCTATTTCTGTGTTATGTAACTTGTTTGGTTTTCCTGGTTATAATAATTGAATTTAATGTTTATTAAACATCATTTTGTCTCTGTATTATATAACTATACATTGTGACTGTCACATTGAATATCTAATACTAATAATATTGTCATAGTCGTAGAATACTGACAGATCTTACAAAGATTACAAACAAAGATCTGTCAGTATTCTATGACTATTATGATATATACATTCTAATAGTTTACCCCTTTTTAAGCATTCTGCATATAAATTTAAACTTCCCACTGACCCTTTAGTATTTGTTTGTTTGTTACTTAATGGCCATGTCTTCTTATCTTCATCTTCCAAACTTAAAATGGAGAAGAACATAGACTACTTTTTATCCCCGTCAAGTCGGGAGTAAAAATTAATGTTAATATAATTAGACATTTATTATTTAAATTATCATATGCTAGGGAGTTTATTAAAGTATCCGTATCTAACAATAGTGTTGTCTCCTTCCAGGGTGCCCAGAATTTATTGAAAGATGCGAGCATAGGCGCATTCCTAATACGGCGGTCTGGCGATAAGAATTTTATTTTCTCCCTCTCAGTACAAACGGATCGGGGGCCCACATCGGTTCGGATACATTTCGAGGATGGATTCTTTAGGTGAGTAATTTTATGAGAGGAATATACACTAAAATACCCATGGTATAAAACACCTCATGTCCCGTCTTTGCTGTGGACAGAAATACTCTTACATTGTCATATTTACTACAATATAGTTTTATTTTATTAGTGGCTGATAATGGAATGGTGTACTATTAGCATCATTTCAGTCTACTGCTGCACATAAGCCTTCCCCATATGGGAAGTTTTGCCAGTAGTTGCCATGTTTGGCAGTCAGATTGGCAACTGCAGTTAGGCTTTTAGAGATATTTTAAGAGGGATGTTGCTACTCAGTACCCATCCTTCACCCTCCCTTAATCGCCTCTTACGACACTTACCCGAAAAGAAGGGGTGGCCTATTCTATATCGGAACCACACAGCAATTTTTTTTTTAGATGAACAAATAAAAGAAATCTAATGGAGTCGAAAACTTTTACTTAAAGATTTTGTAATTAATGTCAATTATTTTTTATTACAGGTTAGACTGTGATACATCATTAGTAAAGTACATGCCGCGGTTCAGATGCGTAGTCGAGATGGTGCAACACTACATCCTCGTCGGTGAGAGGGGCGCCGCTGGCACCGTATGGGTCAACAGGGAGGGCTGCCCACATTCGCCCGTCCTGCTCACCAGCCCCTTCAGGAAAAACCCGCCGACGTTAAAAGAAGCTGCCCGGCTCGCTATACATAAAGCTTTAGACTCAAATCCCTTGAAGCCAAAACTTTGGTGCGCCCCCAAACATAGATTATTACCTCTACCCCCCACTCTAATAGACTATCTCGGTAAATATCCATACTCGATCTAACACTAGAATCTGTGTAATTATTTAGTCAATAGCATCTAATATCTGAACGATGTTTATAGATGTATCTAGTATATGAAATTGAGAAATGTGTGAGTAAAGGCGTATAAGTGAATAATAGCTATATTGTGAGTATCGTACGCCTGTTATCATACTATTGTATTTAATTTGTACAAATGCAATATATTTACACTGTATCTAGTACAGGATGCTAGTAATAAAGGGCTGGACCTTTTATTTTTAATAGCAAACTAACAGACTATTAATTTATAATAATTAATGAATTGTATTATTTATAAGTATTCAATATGGGACTCAACTATGGTATTTAGTGGAATTTTTACGCAAATTATTATTTCTTTATAAGTCAAATCTGTATCTGTATATAGAGATTTGTGCAAATAACGCAAGACTGATCATGAATGTCTATTTGTAAAACTGTTTAACTGTTGAGTGTCGTTCCTTATTATGTACTAAGTGCGACAAAAGTGTCGCACTCTGTATGCGCAGCCGTAAAACATCGCAGCCCACACTTGACTACTGATATTGTTATTTTAGTAAATTGTTCACTAATGCCTAATCTTGTCCATCGTGTTAAGAAATCATCACACTATTTTATATAATTATATTTCTATTAATTTATTTCTTGGTTAAGCGTAGATTTACTTGTTCCCTAAATTGTAGGTAAAAGCTGATATTTTTTATCTTTGTTCCTATATTTCTGTTAAGTCTTAAATCCATTGACATTCGATACCGGGCACCGATTGTATCAATCTGTTAGCTATAAAATGAAGTGCCATCGAACATTTAGTAAACACAAACGTGAATTGGCCGCAACAATCACCCAGTGGAAGTATTTTTGAGGCTGAACGTGTAAATAACTTTTGTTTTTGTTTTCTATTTATTTCATTACTTTAGTTAGTTAAGTAAAGAAATGCTGTCACATAAATTGTAACCATATAATGGTTTTTCGGTATACTATGTCGTGGTGAGTAGAAGGCAGGTTTGGCTAGTGATGTTTACTAATGTAGACTTAATTGTACCTTAATAATCTCAATTAGAATGTATTTAAGTTTCACCAATTTCATATAGGTGTCAATATTTACATCCATAAATTATTATTTAACCTGCATTATGTAATCACGAGATAATGTCGGATCGTAATAGTCCTCGTTTATATCGCCGAACATATAAAATGTTATTTAATTTAAAACAAGATTATTTTTATACAATTTTGTAAGGGAAAGCACCAACTAAATAAGTGTGACATAATAGAAGGAAACTCGTGTTTCAATGTTTATAAAATAATGTATAAAAAGAACTGCAAATAATTTATTATAAAAAAACAAAATATACAATCTGTCTTGAAAAGTTTTTGTTTAATTTTCAACCGAGTTCAAAAGAAGGCGAAGGTTCTGATTTGTTTTTCCTTTTTATTTGTTACCGCAGAGCTCGTTTATAAATTGATTTAAAAATTATTTTTTTATCTGAAATGATAGTTTTAGATTGACCCCATAGAAATTTCGTCAAAGTCGGTTCATTGGTTTTTGTTTTTCAATGAAATGAGTTATTCTGCTGTCTTTTTTTTTCTGATAAATATCTACTTGTCTAAATTATATTAGCAGCTTCGCTTGTATCCTAAGAACAAGGAATTCCGAAATTTTTACTTGTACCACTGAACATCAACACTTAAATAAAGCTTGTACTATGAGTATTAAACTAGTACTTTTTTCGTGAATACCTAATACGTAAATAGATCCCGATGAATACAAACGGACATTTATATAAAATGTTTGTATTAATATATGCGAGAATAAGGAGCGAAGTTTTCAACTATAAGTAAAATACTTATATGATAATATATACCTTTTTTAAGGGGTTTTTTTATTGGTGGAAATGGAATAGTAACCCCGCCTGCGCTGTCAGTTTACGCTGGCGGGGTTTTTAAGGGGTTAGTTCGTGATACTGTTTTATGTAATGCAATTCTATGTACCTACTAAAGTGAATAGTCCGGGGTATAGAGAATATATCTAGGGGAGAGATTTCATAAGCATCGAAAGGTGAGGCAATATATTGCACTATTAAATCATATGGAATGGTCAAATATGTACCTAAATGGTTTTTTTTTAATGGATGACAATGAAATAGCAATCCCACCTACGTTAACGATATACGCTAGCGGGGCACCAATGGGGATGACAGGTGAGAATGAAAAGGCCAGTTAGCCCATCGTGATAAATACACCTGGTATTCAGCACAATGGTTTCCAGGGAACACCACGTGGAGGTCGACCTTACAGGACATTGCTAGCAATAGTCTGAGTGTCAAGTGTCTAAATATCTAATCTATATAATTATCTAGTGTTTGAGTGTCTGGGTGTCTGAATGACTAGTGTCGAGTGTCTAGTGTCTGTGTCTGAGTGTCTAGTGTCTGAGTTGCTGAGTGTCAAGTGTCTGAGTGTCTAGTTTCTGAGTGACTGCGTGTAAGTTTATGGGTTGCCGAGTTTCTAGTGTCGGTGTCTGAGTGTCTATGTCTGAGCGTCTAGGTGTCCGATTATCTGAGTGTCTTGTGTCTGAGTGTTCAGTGTCTGAGTGTCCAGTGTCTGAGCGTCTAGTGTCTGATTATCTGAATGTAAGTGTCTGGGTGTCTAAGTGACTAGTGTCCGAGTGTCTAGTATCCAAGTATTTGAGTTGCTGAGTATAAAGTGTCTGAGTGTCTGCGTGTAAGTGTCCGTGTCTAGTCTCTGTGTCTAATGTTTGAGTGTTTAGCTTTTCGATTATCTGAGTGTCAGTGAGTGTCCAGTGTCTGTGTATCTAGTGCCTGAGTGTCAAGTATCTGAGTATCTAGTGTCTGAGTGTCTAGTGTCTTAGTGTCTGAGTGTCCAGTGTCTAAGTGTCCAGTGTCTGAGTGTCCAGTGTCTGAGTGTCTAGTGTCCAGTGTCTGAGTGTCTAGTCAGTGTCTAAGTGTCCAGTGTCTGAGTGTCCAGTGTCTGAGTGTCTAGTGTCTGATTGTCTAGTGTCTGAGTGTCTGTGTATCTAGTGCCTGAGTGTCCAGTATCTGAGTATCTAGTGTCTGAGTGTCTAGTATCTGAGTGTCCAGTTTCTAAGTGTCCAGTGTCTGAGTGTCCAGTGTCTGAGTGTCTAGTGTCTGATTGTCTAGTGTCTGAGTGTCTAGTGTATGAGTGTCTTAGTGTCTGAGTGTCTAGGTGTCCGAGTATCTGAATGTCTAGTGTCAGGAAGAAATAAACTTTCTCTAAATATGCATACATCGGTAACAGCAACAGAATAAACTAGATAATAAGAGCCACGCTCCAAGGACAATAACCGCCTCTAAGGATATTCACTGTCCCAATTTTCTTTCACTTAATGTTCTTGTTTTTGGCCTTTTTTACAAACATCATTTAACTCAAAAAGCAGTCCCTACTTGCATTGCAAATAACTATAAAGTAATAACCTCTCTTTTTCGTCTTTTCCTTTTTGTCAAAATTATTGAAAATTATGTCTGCAGAAGGCGAGGACTTTTGCTTTTTTCCTTTTTTATAAGTGTTGCCTTCATAGATGTAACTTTCTTGGCTATTTGTTTAATCATTCAAATTTTATATTTTATGACAGAGGTATAGAATACATATATATTATACAAGGCGTTACGAATATAAAAGATGTTTTTATTTCCAAAAAAAAAAAAAACCACCAAAAATGCCCAAATCAATAATTTCTTCTATCTAAATACTTTTATATTAATGAATATGGTAGCAGTTTACAAATGTCTTTGACTACTGTATCAGTTGTCGGATTAAAATTGTAAGGGTAGTATTAGAATAATGAATTTTGTATTAGTTTTTCAAAATAATATTGCACATACATTCAGTTTTTTGTTTAAAAAGAAGATTAAATGACAGGTTATTAACCAATAATATTGAAAAGAATCACCAATATATATTAATTAGTGTTTTGTACAATTTTTAAATATTTGGACGAATCGTCTTTTTTTTATTTTATTTGATCTAGTTCGACAATTTGAAACAAAGCTGACAACACTGTTCTGTCAAAATTTATATATTGGATTGTTAACATTTTTATTTATTGATTTGGTTAGAAATATTTGTTACTTAAAATTAAAGTATATTTATAATCCAAAGAATGTGATGGTTAAATATAATTAAAACTGCAAACGCCATGTCTGCTAATGGTAACGGCGGTAATTATGCACCGCTGAAGCAAGTTTTATCGGACTCTGATTCGGATGACGATCACAAGTTGGAAAATAATGTTCACATTAGAACAACAGATAGTTGTAATAATCTAGACTTTAACAGTGGTTTACAGTCTTCAAAGAACTACAGCATGAGTGATATGGACGAGTTTAACACAAACGTCAACACTGTTGAAAGCACAATGGATAACGTAAGTTTCTTACAATCGGACGCATCCAATAAAATGTCGTTCCCACGTTGTTGTGCCTTCATCACCTCGATACTAGTTTGTATCTTTACTGTCGTCATATTTCTGTGGGGCATTCCTTGCTCTGAAGTAGGTAGTTGCACAAATAGTGAGTGGCAAGATAAAACCACCAGTTGGGAATTGCCGTATGATGAAATAGAGTTATCCGGCGCCGTTCAAGTTGTAGAAGGTGCTATACCAAACACAAAGAATTTGATATTTATATATCGTGGCAACCATATGAAGCAAAACAGTGGCAATAATGATAATGTTAATGGTGTGTTGCTTATAGTTGGGAACTCTGGTAAAGTTGGTTGGTACACTAGAGAGAGTAGAATCCCCACAGAAATAAAATGTCACCTCCTGGATGTTAATCATGATAATCAGATGGATTGCTTGGTTTCTGGGTCCGACGGTTTGCTTGCTGCATTGAATCCTTTATCAGGCACTTATTATTGGTATATTCATAAGCATGGAAAAGTTTTCAGTAATATAGCTGCAATAGATTTCCCTACTCTTGTGAGGGATATGGATAGGGATAAAGTAAATGATCTTTTAACAGTTGCAACAGTTTATCCTAACACAAATCACAACTCATTGTTAATGATATCTGGTGCAACAGGGAATATAATTGGGGAACCAGTAACTATGGATGATTGCTTGTCAGTAAAGTTGCTTTCAGAATCGGAAACTCTTCATATAAACTTGCCTTATCTGTGCAAGAACAGTACAACGGAAGCTGTGAGATTGCTGTCACTCCGTACTATCAACAGAAAGGCATTTAAATCGGAGCAAACTGTGAATCATACAATAGCAGCTTCAATTACAAAGAAAGTTAATCTCAGTTTAAAAAAAAATATTGGTAATACAAGAGACATGTACACTAATGGTCCAGGCAGGCTAATTGTGGAGAATTCAGGTGAATGCCCATATTCATGTAGGGTTACTTTAAAATTATTGCTTGATAGAAATGGAACTACCAATGTCAGCTGGCAGTACTCAGCCAACCATGTGTTCGCCATGAAACCAAGTACCTTTGCATTTGCAAATTCCATACGTGGATTTGTTTTGAAATTATGACAGTGGAACAGTGCACACCTGGCCAAGGGTGCACTTAAAATAGACGAAGTCAAATATAATGTACAAAATCAAAGCCCAAAGAATTATGATATATTTTACTATCGGCCTACTATAAATGTTGCATCTATATCCTCATTTATTAAGTATGCAAATTTCACTGCACATGATATATCCGAAAGGATTGTGTTGGTATCTTTCGATAACATGCAGACCCACAATGTTAATGTAAGTCAAACTGATATACTCCAAATATGTGTGCGTGGACCCATCAACAGTGATGTGCCACTACCAATATGTCAGCCTGATTTGGCATATCAGGAGCAATCATTAATGATTGCAGATCTAGATGGTGATAAGTCGCATGAATTAATCTCATATTACAGTACCTTCATTGCACCAGAGTCATACAGTCCAAAAAATACAAATCCCGTTGATAACTGGCGTTTAACATCAATAGTCAGAGTTATTCGGTTAGAATCTGAGTTGCCAAAATTATTTGTTTCTGATGTGTAATGTCAATAAGAGCTTTGTATTCATATTTGTTTTATAGCGAGTCACAATTTGCCAAATGATCTGCTATTTTGCTGTATGGAGTTAGTGATAACTTTGTCTAGTCACCATGATTGGTATTATTATTGTAATTAATTAATAATGTATTATTATGATAGGTTTAAAGAGTTTAGAGTATTTACAATAGAAAACATGGGAAGGATAATTAGAAGATAGTTTTTTTTTTTAACTAAGGCACAAAATATCTTACAATATGATTTTACAAATAAGAAGTCATATTTGAAAAAAATATTTCATATGTAAAACTTAATATACTTTTTAGGGTTCCAAAGCAAAAATAGAGCCTTTATATTTTCTGTGTTTATATGTCAAAACTATTTTCTAAATATAATTATCATTATATCTTTCATAGTGAAAGATTCTATAATAAGTAACATCAGATTCATAAATAATAATTTATACATTTGGTGTTCCTTAATTAAAGTTTTATAGATACTTTCATTAAATTTTACATTATTAAAATTTTAATATATTTATATGGATCCTTTTAAGAAAATGGTAACAATTATTTCTATTATAGTGTGATATCTAATGTAAATGCTCTAACAATTTTACCCAGTGCATTGTGGAACAAGGTGATTGTTCATTAAGTGTATGAACAAATTTGTGTATATAGACCCTTGTTTCACCTGGAGTGTTCCATTTGAAAGTGTTTTCGTTATAGTGTAAATGTTATTTATAATGTATTTCAATTTAAATATATATTGGAGTCTGATTATTTATATCAATACAGAATTACAGTTGATACTACAAAGTTTTTCTATTATCCCAAATTACAATAGTTATAGCAATTGTTTTTATGTAACTTACAATGGCATATAAAAAGATGACCCACCTGAGGGTACCCTTCATGCGTTGCTATTCCTGAGAACAAAGGTGTTTTTTATTGGTAGAAAATGGAAATACCCGCCTACGTTAACGGGATACGCTGGCGGGGCAACAGTGAAGGGTGATCGATGAGGATGAAAACAGGCCAGTTATTCCATCATGATGAATTCATTAGGAATTCATCATGATAGTTTCCAGGGGGAACCGCGAGGAGGTCAACCTGGTTGGGTATATTGCTAGTAATGGGATTCTCAATCTCCATTACTAACAATCCCTTTCCCCCCGAACTAAGGTGTTACACCTCTCTATCCTGTAAATTGTTTGCCATATCCCACTCTTCAAACCGAAACAGCCATGCAAACACAACTGCCTCACGGTAGAAAAGAAAATGCACTATTCTACTAATATTATAAAGTAAAAGTTTTGATTCTTACACAGTTGAACTAATTTGAAAGAAATTTGGTATGAAAGGTAGAATGTTTCTGTCTAGATTAATTCACGCGGCTAAAACCGCGAGATTTAGGTAGACATTACATACGCGTTCGCGGCATTTTGTCACTAATATGAAACCACTTTTCCCCATAATATTTACGGATGAAAGATGTGGTATTACTATCATCATATCAGCTGTTAACTTTTTTTTTGATGGGTGCAAATGGTATGGTAACCCCGTCTGCACTAACGGTATACGCTTGCGGAGCACCAGTGAAAGGTAATAGATATGAATAAAAACAGGCTAGTTAGCCCATCATGATGAATTCATCAGGTAATAACCATGATAGTTTCCAGGGAGAACCGCGAGGAGATCGACCTGGTTAAGTATATTGCTAGCAATGGGATTCTCAGTCTCCATTACTAATAATCCCTTTCCCTCCAATCAGCTGTTAACTGTCCGCTGTAGAACAAGCCCCTCCCATAAAAGTGGGTTTTTGCTACTAGTTGGCTCTCGTGAAATGCGGTTCGCAATGGCTTAGGCTTTGGTAACGTTTTAAGAGGGATGCTGCTGTCCATTTTTCGACCATTGAGCTTTCTTAGTCACCTTTTACGACAACCCCGGGAAAGCCCATTCTATGCCTAAGCCAGACAGCAAATAAACTTAATTATAAGAATTTTTTAAAAATATTTTTTATGTACTCATAAAATACCGCCTATTTTGTTATATTCATAGAATTTCATGTCTATAGGTAACAGTAATAAGGAGCAATTTAAAATAAACTAACCCTCTCTGTGACATTCGCTCAGCTTTTTTTGACGCTTTGACAGGACGATTGTTGATCGAAGGCACAGATATCTATTTAGGTTCCAAATTGAAACTAAAATCATAATCAAATATCGTTTATTCATTTGTTACCTAATACAAAATAGACAGCTAATTTTTAAATCAGTCAATTATCAAATTTTGTTACATTTACATGTCTTACATGTTAACAATGTTATTTTTTATAAATTTGTAAGCGTACGGAAGTGCACATATAATAGGAAAAAAATGCAATATGTATGTTTTGATGTATGTATTTCAGTATTAGTATTTTAATACATTATACAAGGTCTCAGTAAAAGCATTCCAGATTTTATACTTGATTTCGAAGTTTCATGCTCCCGGAATAGTGGTATCAGGTAATTAGAACTACTTTTCATCAAAATGGAGCATTTAGTGTCAGTCTTGTCGTGGTGTAGAAAATAAGAAATTACAATATAAAAAAAAAAGATATATTTAAATAAACTTTTGATTCGAAATATTCGAGAAATTTATCTTATTTGAAAAGGCTATCTTTGAATTCAAACACACATGATCTTCTATCCCAGTATCTTCGTCATTTCGGGAATGATTTTTTATAATTCATAGGTAGGTAAGGTAAGTAGGTTATTAAAAAGAAAAATATGTAAAAGTATGGCGGGTATAATTTCGAATCAGGAATAAAATTCCTTTAAAGAGAGCCTATATGCAAAATTAAAATTTAGAATTTACAAACGAATTTAAAGCATTTTTTTAAACTTAGTAAAAATTATTAATATTTTCTATTTTTAATCTTATGAATTACACGTTTCAAACGATACAAAATTGTGCAGTGGTACTGACTTTCAAGCTCGTTTAAAATCTACAACTATTTATATAAAACAGCTGGAATATAACTAATATTTATATCACATTTGTTTGTAGAATTATTCTATGGCAGTGAAATAAACGTTTAATGATTGTTTATTCCTATGCGACACAAGAATAAATTTTAAATTACACGTAAGGATTCGTTTGTGTATATTTGTGACGTGAAATGATATTCTCTGTAGTATTTAGAAGGTTGGAGAATAATACCAGAATCAGCTATATAATTGATATTGTTAAGACGCACACATTTAGGCTCGGTTCTGAGGTACTATTTCTCTACACTTACCTCTTATCCTATATATATTTTTTTTTTGTTAGTTTCGCGAAATTATTGTTTTATAGACCATTACAAATTAAATTTCCACTAAAGATTTCATTGTGATATCAATTTGAAATATTAATTTAAGAGATTAAAGAAATGGCGCCACAGAATCGAATTTAATTTACGAGAAATGGCGCCACAAAATCGAATTGTCAGTTTTAGTACAATTACGAGAGTGGCGCCCTCTGGCGTTTCTAATATTTTTCCATTTTAGAAAGCCAGTTGTCGTAGCTTACTGGACATCTGTACGCGCCTTCTGAAGCGAGAAGCAAGTGATATTTATATTATAAATTAATCAAACATGTGTTTAAAGAATTCATAAGTTTGTATCGAAATGATTTTTGGATTCAAACTTCCGTCTGAGATGAAACGTCAAAACTTTTCTCAACTTCTCAAGTGACTACTGCAGTACAGTTATAAATACTTATATATAGTAATTCATAAATCCAGAAAGGAATCGTAAATGCAACTATTCTATATATTACGGTAGATTCGGAGGTTATTCTTTAAACTCATATAAAATTTGGGAATAATCCAACAATTGATTGTGTAATGGATTATTATATTATCAAATATATTTAAGATTTTGTTGATTAATCGATAATAGTTAATGCAACGATATACTATCGACAATAATAATAGTACCTATGTTAATTAACGTAAACCATTCCTTAAATTGGTGTTAGTAGCAATCTGTACAAAAGACTGTACAAGGTATTACACACCTATTATTATGTAGTGCCGATTATAAAAATACACATTGCTTTCTTTTTCGAGACCCTATTTTATTTTTTTGGTAATAAAAATTTTTGTTTCAGAAAAAAAAAGTAAATTTTTTTAAATCCTATTAACTCCTCAAGCGTTTATGCATTATACACTGTACCGAACAAAAATGTGGCACTGCGCGTTAATGCAACAGCGTCTGTTGCATAACTCGAATTTGCAGCGTCGTTTTCCTTAAATTTATGTATATAATAAATCCATTTATCCATAACCGAAATTTGGTAATTTCAAAAATCGGTGACGCAGTGAGTGTAGACAGGTAACCTAAAGCCGATCGCTCCACGGCTCCACTAATGAATACTAACAGCACTTTCAAGGGACGGATAACGTCAATTAACGTGTACAATTTAATCAAACATCAATTCTAATATCGATCGAATAATCGATACCGTTGACATCGATTACAACCGATAGAATTGCGTAAACACTTATCATCAATACTATTAATGTAATCAATAGATATATCGGTATAGTTCGATTTTTTTGGGCCATCATTATCGATTAATACGACAACCATTGAGCCTTATAATGCAAAACTACCACAGTGACCACCTAATGGTATAATTGAGTTTGGGGTTATTTTTTTATGCAACTTAGAATGGCAAACAAGCTGACGTATCATCTGATAGAAAATGGTAACCGTCGCCTATAGACATGAGCAGTACCGTGGACATAACAGAGTATACTGTTTTGCCCATGATACTCCCCATGCGTTGCCATTCCTGAGGACTTAGGTGATCCAATATCTATACAACACAGATAATAATATATTACTTCTTAAAGGTAACCTTCATGCATACTAAGTACGTTTGTTAATCATTCTCACAATCTTCGTAGCGATCTATAAAATAAGCAAACATATAGGAACTTATTAATACTAATTCACTTTTTGGGTCACTGCGACACACTTGGTGAAAACATATCTCCAATATTAATCTTTTGTTTTATATTTGAAAAAATGTAAATAATCAGATTGTATAAATTTATTTATTAATTTACGTGTGTCATAAATGGCTCAAATAAAGTGTTTATCTATCTATCTAATTCGAGATTTTTAACATTTAAAATAAAAAATAAAACTGCTCATATTAATTTACATTAGTGGCAGTCATTAGACTTTTGTATAAAAAGTAAATCTTAATTAACATAACATACTATATTATCACCCATCAAAATTCAAATGTAAACAAAAAAGAATTACACATTTATAAAAAAAAAAAAAAAAAATTACATATTAACTATCATAGATATTTTGGAAAGAAATTAAAAAGAAAATAGAAACTTTAATAACAAAATATGAAATCAATTTGTAGACATACATTTGCCTAATTTAACAGTTGCTAGGAAATTACATCGATATTACTTTTTATTATAAAAAATTTTAATTAGTGCAAAAAAAAAAAGATGAGAAATAATAAAAATATTTGAAATTTGACAGGCAATACAGACGGTATAAAATAAACTATAAACAGTTAGTATACTGTAAAGTAATAATGTAACAAAATATAATTCGTAACGTAAAATAACAATTGAAAATGGCAAGTATAGCGTCCAGTGTACGCAGAATTCAGAAATAAACACGATATTATTCGTGTTACATTTTGTAAATAATTTGTTGCCATTTAAAAAATCACAAATTGAGTTAATTTCATTTTATAATAGTGTATATATATATATATAACAATGATATTATTTTACGAACAAGAATATAAATTTGTATCCAAGATGTAACTGAATCGAATCTTAAATCCGCGTCGCATTTGTAACTATGTAATCTATGTGAACTGTGAACAGAACTGATATTCATCTATCTCTATAACGCTAGTTAGTGCAAGCGGGATAGCGAATTAATCTCTGTTTAGTCTTATTCGACTAGTTACTTAACAATTGGAGAGTAAGCGAGACGAACGAAACGCAAAAGGTTTATACTAAGTATTCTATTATACAAAAAAAAAAAAATCCACTCAATCAGAACATATGACATTACATCTACTTACTTCAATTTAAGTAGGAAATTTCCATTTAGTTTAAGCTTCTCGATTACCAATCGCAAAGTAATCATAGTGTTAAACGTGTTCGTCTATGGTATTAGTTAGTAAGTCTATGGTACAAGTTTGCGAGTCTGTGGTATGGCGTTTGTGAGTCTATGATACGACGAGTTTGTGAGTCTATGGTACGACAAGTTTTTGCGTGACATTTGTGTCGTCGAAGACCGTGTACTCTTCTAAGGTCACCATATTGAGAGCAGCCAGGTGCTCTGCGACGCTGTAGTCGTCCTCATCGTACAATTCTACTGTTATCTCGTCGTAGTCCCGGGAGCTGAGGGTGGAAATAATTGTGTTGTAAAAAAATCTTTATTGTACATAATTCATACTGAATACATTAAAAGATTTAATATACAATGGCGGATTTATCCCATAAAGGGATCTCTTAGAGTCAACCTTTGAGAAGCTGAAAGAAAACTGTAGAATGTACAAGAGTAAAAACCGTAACTGTAATTGTTTTACTTAAACTTGAAGTTTAATTTATAACGATTCCTTTTTATCGTCGTGCCGAGATGGTTCATATTTAATAAATTATGGGTGTCTTAAATTTATCTAATTTAGTATATGCTTCTCTGCCTACCCTATAAAAGACGTTGAGAAAAAGGTAGCCGTACAGGAGTTTATAGGATTGTCCTCTATAAGTTGTCAGGCTCCTGTTGCCATACGCACGCGTGTGCTTACGGCTTACTCACGTGACAATGGTACGACGTCTGCTCGCGGGCTTACTCACATGACGTGCGCGTCGAACGTGCGGTCCTGCACGAGGTTGGCGAGCGCGGTCTTGGTGGCGGCCCACTGCCGCGACGTCTGCTCGCGCGCCACCACGCCCGCCAGCGAGCAGCGCGCCGCCTGCGCGGGCAGCGCCACGAACCGCGGGTCCAGCATGCGCACGCAGTCCTCCTTCACCCATACCATGTTACCGTAGTCCACGTACATCACCTACATTACAAAAGTATAACATTTTTATTTATACAACTTAGAATGGCAAACAAGCTGACGGCCCACCTGATGGAAAGTGGTAACCGTCGCCTATAGACATGAGCAGTACCGTGGACATAACAGAGTATACTGTTTTGCGCATGATACCCCCCATGCGTTGCCATTCCTGAGGACTCGGGTGTTATTCCTCTGTACCCAGTAAATTGACGCCATATCCCACCCTTCAAACCGAAACACAGCCATGCAAACACAACTGCTTCACGGTTAAAACACGAATGGGACAGAGGTACCCAAGCAATCGACTTTTGTACAAAGTCTCCCTCTGGTGAACATGAATAATTTTTTTAAAAAAAAACAACGTTCAACTAAACATTAGAGTCCGCAACACTAAACGAAGCTCGGCTTTCGGTTACACTAGATTAAGAAACAACGTTTTTAAAAAAAGTATATTAATTTGAAATTATAAATTGCTCACTATCTATATAAACTGGGAAGTTATACATCTCAGCGAACATATTTGACTGTTACCTGTTTATAATACCTCACTTCTATTATTGTGCTACGTATAATTTGTAATTTGCTGTATTCAAGTCAAAAATTTATATATAAATAAAAATGATATGCCAGTAGTCATATAGCATGAATTTCGGCAATAGATATACTAACTAAATTGTCTATGTCGGAATCTTTATCGTCATTACTTAATTTAAAATTAAAATTGGAATCGTCGGCCAATCACCTCTACATTCTGGTCGGCTCGCGATGAGAAGCGTACACGTGCTCGGTACCACTGATCGTCGGGTGGGTATAGGGCTGCCACTAGTTCGCCAGGCGCCGGCGTCGTCTGAAAGACCATATATTTTTTTTTTATTTTGTCAATACATTGGTTAGTAAGCTATTAGGCTAAAATGTTACAATTAACAGAAACTACAAGCGAGAATACAAATAGCTATAATATTTAAATAAGTACTAAGATAGTCCTAACATAAAGTCCTAAAAACATTTATAAATAGAAATAGCAACAGCTGAATTTCTTGTTCGTTCTTCTACGCTAAAATTGCATTCCGAATGGACGGTAATGGGGATAAATTTACTTAAAAATGCTTAAATCTAAGTTTACTTAAATTAAAAAAATATATATATTTCTATCTTTCTCTCAATAAGGAGTACACAAATTGAAATAATAGACTCGAATATTATGGGTATGAATAACAAATATATTTACAATGTTATTAAATAGCTCCACACATACATACAGATATTCAATAAAAAAAACCTCTAACAATTATAAATAAAGAAGTATTGTCTGTAATTTATAAGGTATAGCAAATTCAATTTTCCTACTAATACCAATACGACTGAATCCAGCTCTGGCCATAATGTTATTGGTGTAGCGTTGACATGGAACTAACCTTGGGACGTTTGTACGCCATCCTGGTGGCGGGGCTGTTCATGTCGCGCACGAGAGCCTCCAGCGACGTCGGCGGCAGCACTATGCCGAACTCGGGCAGCGGCTCCTCTGGCCGACAAATAGTAATAATGTTACATATATACTTAGACTACATAGATAGAGTGTCTCCATACAAATGCTTCGAGAACAACTTTTTCATACAATTTTGCACGATAAAAAGTTATAAGTGATTCCTTTATAACTTCTATATTTATTTTGTTTTATAATTTTTGCATCTTTTTAATGCTTATAAACTTATTTTATTTATTAAATAATTAAATATAGGTATGTCAAGGTGCATTGCGTGCATAAGTATATTGAACGCTGATAAAAAAAAAAAAAACGAGTCAGGTAATTTGACAATCAGCTGTCAAAAACTTGGAGGAGAAGGGATTGTTAGTAATGCAAACTACCAGTCCCATTGTTAGCAATATACTCTGTTAGGTCGACCTCCACGTGATACCCCATGGAAACCATCGTGCTGAATTCCAGGTCTATTCATTATGATGTGCTAACAGAGCATTTCATTATCATCCATTAAAAAAAAAATCTCTGGAACGGCTCAATTAATTTTCGTAATTTACGAGTATATTGTTAAAAAATGAACCCGGCAGGTGGCGGTAACGACTGAAGCCTTTGCTGGGTCTGTAAGTTTTAAAAATAGTCTATTATGATGTGTCAACCATATTATCATATTCAAATTGGAGTATAACAATATAGTAGAATCCCAATTCAAAAAATTTAAAATTTAATAATCGATTTTTTATTTGTAAATACCATTGGCCTTCCTTAGATTGTGTATGGTCAGGTTATTATTGTATTGTATTGTAAAATGTTTATTTGACATAATTTAGATTGGACACATTAAAAGATTTTATATACAATGATTAATTAATGATTATGTTAATGACTAATTTACAGGGTACAGAGGAATAACACCTGAGTCCTCAGGAATGGTAACGCATGGGGAGTATCACGGGCGAAAGAGTATACTCTGTTATGTCCATGGTACTGCTCATGTCTATAGGCGACGGTTATCACTTTCCATCAGGTGGGCCGTCAGCTTGTTTGCCATTCTAAGTTAAATAAAAAAAAAAAAACTCATTTCTTTCAAATGTTTGTATATATTACCTTTTTTCTTCTCATTTATAAACTGTACATAGAAGCGGTTGAAATGGCAGACATATGTAACCAGCACCTTATGCCAGGTGCCCGGTGGCGGCAGTGGGCATGGCTTGTGTGTGAACACCTGCACGCGGTCCAGGGTCCACCCGTCTGTAATAGGGAGTGGATATGTGTAATATGGATTGGTGATTAATATTTTAATTTTCAATATTTTGTGAATATAGCTGATGTTAGAGGATATTCCAGTTGTACATACTTATTCTAGTTGTATAAATAAATAAGTAAACTTATTAATTAAAACTTTTGTAATTAAAAACAAACTTAAATAAAAAAAAAAAACTATGATAGGTAAATTGAAACATTCGAATTTCACCTTAGTAATGCCGCGCGTATCTATTGTCATTAATTATTTTTTGAAATTCAAATTTAGAATCGTTAAAAAGGACCTATACAATATCTTAAAAAAAAAAAAAAAAACGGCCAATATTTTTAGAATTCAAGAACTTTATATGAAATATCCCTAGACGTTGTTGCGGTGTGTATATTAGTTTGTTTAGGTTAAATATTGTAAGCTAAATAAGAATCACTTTTTGGCATCCAATTGAGCAAAAATTTTCTTAATCTTTAGTTTATTTTTTAAAACACAAAAAGGAACAAACAAGCATACAACTCGTTTGATGGTAAACGGTCACTATAGCCTATGAACGTCTGTAACATTAGTGGTGTCACTGAAGAAACCTTAATATAACTTTTTTAAAGAATCCCATACTGTAGACTTTAGGAAAAACCTCGGTAGATAGTTCTATCCACAGTCTGAGTGTTCGCGGGAGAAAACTCCTCTGTAATCTTGCTGCACGCGATCATTTAGGTTCAAGTGTGTGAGGATGAATTCTCTATCGATGGCGAGGGGTGAAATGATAAAAGGTTGATGTGGGAATCATTTCGAACAATTCCTCGAAACACAATCCGTCATACAAGCGGTAGAACACATAAAGTTAGTAGTTCTAGTGACAATACAATAATCAATTCTCAATATTGTAATATCTTCAAAATGGTATCCGCCACAAGATGGCGATTTATATGTATTTTTGTCAACAGACTATTATGAAATAAAATTCAAAATTTATGGATTCAATTTCGTGTTTTTGTTCATAATCGAACTAGTATATTAAGCTCAAGATTTTGTTTGTCAAAAATCCTACCTATAAAAGTCCAATATTTTAACATTTGTGGCATTTTTAAATGGTCCGTATTATGTAATATTGACTTAAAATTTTTGTTTCGTTCGGCTCCGAAATTCCGGAAAACATTTTATGGTAAACCCTCTGATGAAAAGTGGCAATCGTCGCTTACAAATATGAATAGCAACTTAAACATCATAGTATTGTGATGTTCATGGTACTTTTTAAGAGTTGCCATTCTCATAAATGGGTTACCATTATTAGGATTATAATTAAATTATTATAAAAAAAATACATGCATTTTCAGTATTTCGTGCAAGTTAATTAGTTATATTAAACAATATTTGCCTGGATGTTTCATTATGTGTCTCTTATTGCAGCGCGATCCTTTGAAGCACGTTTTTTCAGGCCCTCCTTTGTAGTGTTTGCAGATGTCCGCTTCGTCGCGATTATGGTAGCCCTATAAAATAGATGTACCATATATGCATGAGGGGAGTTATGACAGTGGATAGCCTAAAATGTATACAGAGATAGAGGCATATGTCACTTGGTATTCTTTACCTAACCGTCAAGGGATTTGTCATAAAGATTGATTTAAGAATTTTGAAAATTAAGGGCTATGCAGATTTGTATTTTAATCTGTCAAATATTATCATATGACCAAATATAGGGGAACAATATATTAGGAAACTGGCAACCCTCAGGATTGTTAATAAGACCATTGCTAGCAATACCCTGTTATATTAGGTTAGGTTAGGTGCTATTTGGAAACCATCGTTCTGAATTCCAGGTGTCATCACGATGGCACAACTGACCTGCCTTATATCCTCACCTAATATCCTTCAAACGGTAGCACCCCACCAGCGTATACATTATCATCCATAAAAAAAAAAAATTGTAAACCCTATTGCTAGCAATATGGACCTTGAAACTTACACAGTTAATTGCTGTAATATCCGTCGTGATGGATCAACTGATTTTGTTTTATCGTCATGTAAAGTCTCTCCCTATATGTGGCCAATTAATATTTGTGGCCATAAAAATCATTTAATTACCGTAACAGCTTCCACAGCGTCCTCGTACTCTGGGCACTGGGTGATGTCGAGCTCACTGTCCACCGATCGCGGGGCACCATCGTTCGCTTGGGAAACGGTACGTTTATCTACTGTATAAAATAAAATAAATTTATTAATCTTGAATAAGACGAACATGTGATCGGATTTATAATTATTTATTATATTTTTATTTATTCATTAGTACAGATATGTGTACATGGCGGACTTAATGCTAAAAGCATTCTCTCCCAGTCAACTATAGAGAAGTGTCAGAATACTCGAATGCGGTACTACTAATTATTGATATACATACATACTAAAATTACATATATAAACGAATAAACATATATATGAATAACAAATATACTTACACATATATGATATATACTATATTATACACGAAATTGAGAATAATATGAAGCACCTACTGCTCGGATAAAGATAAAAAGTGAGCGTGAACGCTTTTTTTGTAAGACGGTTTAGTCGTTTATAATTAGTATAACTAAAAAAATAGAAAAGTGACCCAACCAGGATATTACAAAAATTACAAACATATGTTTTTAGTATTGAATGCTAAATATTTTTTCGTGATTGTTTATTCGAACTGGCCGTTTTTTTTTATATAATATTACATATTAATAAAACAGTATGTTCTTCATAAACCACATATTAAGGTTTTTTGGAGTCGGCAAAGCACACGTGATACTCCTAGTGTTGCAGGCATCCATAGTCTATAGTGATCGTTTACCATCAGACGGGCTGTATGCTTGTTTGCCACCTTTGTAGTATAAAAAAAAGAACTTCAGAATTTCTAGTACCCCTAGTGATTTTTTTATTTTTTATTTTTATACAACTTAGAATGGCAAACAAGCTGACGGTCCACCTGATGGAAAGGGGTAACCGTCGCCTATAGACATGAGCAGTAATATGGACATAACAGAGTGTACTGTTTCGCCCATGATACCCCCCATGCGTTGCCATTCCTGAGGACTCAGATGTTATTTCTCTGTACCCTGTAAATTCACGCCATATCCCACCCTACAAACCGAAACACAGCCATGCAAACACAACTGCTTCACGGCAGAAACACGAATGGAACAGAGGCACCGAAGCAATCGACTTTTGTACAAAGTCTCCCTCTGGTATTTCATTTAAATTGTTTATTTTCATGTTTCTGGTGCAATAAAGAGTTAAATAAATAAATAAAAACATTTTGTCACGGTCGAAAGTGGCAATTTTCGTGGTATGTAAAACTCTGCTTAATATTACGTTTATAAAGTTTTTTTTTTAATATTGATATACTTACTCATGCTGGCGAGTCCCTGCTTCACCATGAGCTCGTTTATGGTCTTGTTAGACGAGAGGATTACGTACACGCCCAGGGACTCGGAAGTGCTGGACAAATTTAAGTTATTATAGTTAATAGTTAAGTTTGATTATAATTCTAATATTATAGCTTCCTAAGACAAAGTAGAAACGAATCTATTGATAGAATTGTTATCGCTAACCAGTCTATGAGATAGAATGAGATGACAACATGCGCTATCTTCTTTGAAATCTGCTGCATGTTATTTCTCATAGCCATGAGTGTGAAGTAGCGAGCTAATGCTAGTTTACATTACATTTCAGCTGTTAACTGTCCACTGGTGAACATAAGTCTTCCCTATAATGGGAGTTTTGCCAGTAGTTGCCACGCTTGGCAACCGCAGATAGGCTTCGGTGATATTTGAAGAGGGATGCTACTGCCCTACCCTTTACCATTAAGTACCCTTAGTCGCCTCTTACGACACCCACAGGAAAGGAAGGAGTGGCTTATTCTATGCCGGGGACCACACAGACTAGTTTACAATATTATTAAGGAGTGCCGTTTAGAGTATTATGGTAAAACTTTTTTTTTATTGTCAAGTATATGTATATGTATATGTATGTATGTATATGTATGTATGTGTGTGTGTGTGTGTGTGTGTGTGTGTGTGTGTGTGTGCGTGCGTGCGTGCGTGCGTGCGTGCGTGCGTGCGTGCGTGCGTGCGTGCGTGCGTGCGTGCGTGCGTGCGTGCGTGCGTGCGTATGTGTGTGTGTGTGTGTGTGTGTGTGTGTGTGTGTGTGTGTGTGTGCGTGTGTGTGTATGCATACGCACATTCATATATATGTATGTGCATGTATATACTATTATATATATTTTTATGTTCATCAATATCATATATAATATCAATAATCATCTGCTCTCGATTATTTGGTTTAGTTTATTGTAGAAACTTTACTGATTTATGTTATGGTTGTGTATACTACTTTATATGTCTTAGATATTGTATGTTTCCCTTTCAAAGTAAAATAAAATAAAAAAAGCACAATATATGTACGTACTTGTCGTCCACTTCAATTTGGCACTGCTGTCCGATGTATTTCTTCAAAAACTCCTCTTGTTTAATCATCAGCTCCTCATCCTCGTTGCCCAATAGGTCCAACTATATGTTAAACGAGTCAACTCAATTAAATTGAACATTTTTCCAAAGAAATATAAGTTGAAAAATGATAAGTTATTTATGGGAGGCTTAAAAATTGTTGGAGATCACTTTACTTTTTTTTTATTGGCGAATTAACTTCATCTGTGTTATCAACGTTCACTCTTTGTATTCAATCATAATTTGATTATATTAATTTCGATGAAAAAATATGGTACGAAGCTATGACATTATGCACAAATAACAAGCAACAAAATAAAAATTAAATCTTAGATTACATAGATAGAGTGTCTCCATACAAATGCTTCGAGAAAAGCGGGTCAATTTTTTTCATCATATATTGCATGATAAATAGTTATGAGTGATTCCTTTGTAACTTCTATATTTATTTTGTCTTATAAATTATGCACCTTTTTAATTGCAATCGTGCAAAATTTAGTTTTAATTATTAAATAATTAAATATAAATACTTCAAGATACATTGTATGCGTAAGTATATAGAACATTAATAAAAAACGAGAGACAAAAATCTATATAAACTAAGTAATAAATAAATATAATAAAAAAAATAATAGATTTGTGAAACTCATTATTGAATTTATTAAGAAATGAAGCTACGTAGACTGATCATAATGAGTGAGGTCAAGTTAAATACAATAAGGAATGACTGATATAATGACGTCGCAACTAACCCCCGCTAGATGGCAGCAGCGCGCGTACGGCGGCTTGTCGCAAAACTGCGCCATCAGCGGCTGTATACAAGCGATCGAGGCTGTTCGCATCTCGCCCGTATCCACTAAAAACACCTCCACCATATTCTGCGAAAGTTACAATTATATTGATCATTAACATAAATCTTTATTATACAACTTAGAATGGCAAATAAGCTGACGGCCCACCTGATGGAAAGTGGTAACCGTCGCCTATAGACATGTGCAGTACCATGGACAGAGTATACTGTTTCGCCCATGATACCCCCTATGCATTGCCATTCCTGAGGACTCAGGTGTTATTGCTCTGTACTTAGTAAATTCACGTCATATCCCACCCTTGAAGGGTGGTCAAGTAGTTTTTGTTTCTACAACGAACATACAGACAGACAAAAATTTTACTGATTGCATTTTTAGCATCAGTATCGATCACTAATCACCCCCTGATAGTTATTTTGAAAATACATTTCATGTACAGAATTGACCTCTCTACAGATTTATTATAAGTATAGATATACAATGACTTTTAAGGCCGAGTGGAGAATTTGTCCGCTGACAAATTGACAAATTGAAATCAGCGTAGGCCTTAAGTTAAAAAAAAAAGAAATCTAGATATCCATACCTCAGTAAGTTTAATGAAGAACCCTCTATAGTATCCGTTGCTCTCCTCGTCGTAGAACGCGCAGTAGTGCAGTGTGCGTATCTGGTCCGGTGTTAGCACCACGCGTTGCTTCTTGTAGTAATCCGTCATTTCATTCATTAGGCTGCGGTTTTAATTATTTATTTATTTACACTTTATTGCACCATTTATATAAATATAGTAAATTTTAATTAATTAATCTTTGGGTACAGGACATTGAAAAAAAAAGGGTAAGTTGTGCACTATTATATAGTTATTATATATCTACACTAATATTATAAAGAGGAAAACTTTGTTTGGTTGTAATGAATAGGCTCAAAAACTCCTGGACCGTTTTTAAAAATTCTTTCACCATTCGAAAGCTACATTATCCACGAGGAACATAGGCTAAATTTTATTTTGGAAAAAAATAGGGTTCCGTAAAATATTTGGGTTTTTTGGACACAAGGTGTAAAAAAACCAACCAGGAAAGTTACTTATTTTGCGTACGCTGCCTAAACTATAAAAGATAGAACCATAAAATGTTCTAATTAATTGTAGATCTTATAAATATCTACAAAAAAGTCCGCGACACACTATACCTATCTATGTCGAGTGAGGCACAACAACAATTTTTTTATTTTAATATCTTGAATTTTTTTGGTCTATATTTAAACGTATTTATTTTACTCATGCTATGAATCCTTATCAAAATAAATTATTTCATCACTAAGTACAGTTTATGTAGATAATATTTAGTCTTTGAATGATTAAAATTGGCGTTTTGTTTTGAAGTTATAGCGAAATTAAAATATTACGACTTTTTTTTATACATCTTAGAATGGCAAACAAGCTAACGGCCCACCTGATGGAAAGTGGTAACCGTCGCCTAAAGATATGAGCAGTACCATGGACATAACAGAGTATACTGTTTCGCCCATGATATCCCCCATGCGTTGCCATTCCTGAGGACTCAGGTGTTATTCCTCTGTACCCAGTAAATTCACGCCATATCCCACCCTTCAAACCGAAACACAGCCATGCAAACACAGCTGCTTCACGGTTGAAACACGAATGGGACAGAGGATAGGTTATATCGTAACTTAGCATATATTTTATATAGTGATCCACGCTAGTCAAGACACGGGAAACAGCTAGTTTTAAATATACTTTTATGATGTATTTGCTTACGTGCAGACTTCGTCGATGTCATCGGTGATGATCCATAGCGCGAGGCCGTCGACCGATATGATGGTGCACGATGAGTACAAGACATCACACTGCAGCACCGTCTGCGCCGGCAAGTTGTACTGCTCGCCGCTGAACGGTGTTGCTATGTGAACAATAAATGACCGATGAGAACTATAGAGTTATAGATAAAACCCCTTATTTATAATAACGTCAAACCTCTCATAAATTTATTATAGTTATAGACTGTAGAACTGTTTCGTCTCCTTCTTTTATACTAAACTCCCAATTTGAAAGAAAGTAACAAAACAGTGTAATAATTAAAATAGGATTGTAGGCTTTAGTTTTTGTGAATAAGGGAGAAAATATTTACAATACAAGTACGCGTAGATTTCAGAAGATCGAAATCCAATGAAAAAGATCATTTCTAGATAGGCTATCAAGACAAAATTGTAAGTTGGACCTTCAGGTATACAACTGTGAAAATCGACTTCAATTTCGTGCAGTAGTTTTTGCGTAATACAGGAACAACGTGACAGATAGACAAACAAAAAAAAATATTTTGCCATGTATTGCTCTTATTAAAATACCTCACATTAATTTTTCATAAATATCTCCCACGTACAAAGAACGTTTAATTACAATTTTATGATATTAGTAAGGTAGAAGGTAAAATATAATAATTATGTGCATCTCTTTCTATCAACAAATATAATTGGAATAAATGGAAAATAGACGACAATGTTAAATGTCATAAAATGTTTTCACAGTGCAATCTGCATTTTTTAGGCTTTTTTTTTATAAACTTATACAACTTAGAATGGCAAACAAGCTGACGGCCCACCTGATGGAAAGTGGTAACCGTCGCCTATAGACATGAGCAGTACCATGGACATAACAGAGTATACTGTTTCGCCCGTGATACCCCCCATGCGTTGCCATTCCTGAAGACTCGGGACTCCTACGTATCCAGTAAATTCACGCAAAAATAATTTTTATATCATACTAGCGATTCGTCCTGGCTTTACACAGGTAGATGGAAAGATAAACTTATATTTTTTATTATCTTTAATAGGCAAATTTTTGATACATTATTGTACTTTTCGTAAAAATCTAAAATTCTCTTTTTAGGATAAATTGTGTAAATTATTACTGTACTGTACATAAGCACACATAACATCATGGAAATTGCAAGTGTGTTGCTAGTCTTTTAAGAAGGAGTATTACTCTTTAGTTGAAGATTTTTTTTTCTCTTGTTCTTTTTTGGAAATACATTATAGAGAAGCATACACTCACCATTTAGAGATAATTTATTTAACTCTGTCGCCACTTCGCACTGTACTTCCTTGTCCTCGTTCTTGTGTACGGGCACACTCTCAGAAGAGCATGAAGTGCTAGAGAACTCAATGAGGGGTTGCTCCCCTTTACGTCGGTTCTCTTGCGCCGGTTTCTCTGAGGGGCAGAGGTTTGGGCAAGCTGTAGATGTAGAAGGCATCGGCTCACTGAGAACGTCCATCAGATTGAGAGCCTGGGGCGTTGGAGTCGGTAGCGAGCTCCTCATCGTATCTAGCACTGGTGTGTACTCCACAATGCTGTTCTCTTCTGTTGAAAACATATTAATATTAATTGAAATTCAATGATTGTATGGTGTAAAGGGCTATTAGAATACTAATGAAATGTTTAGGTTTGAAGGGTGGGATATGGCGTGAATTTACAGGGTACAGAGGAATAACATCTGAGTCCTCAGGAATGGCAGCGCATGGGGGATATCATGGGCGAAACTGTATACTCTGTTATGTCCATGGTATGGCTCATGTCATAAAAAAAAGTCAAAATATTGTAAACTAGAAGGTAATGAAAGAACTTACAATTATTATTTTTCTAAAAACTGAAAATCAAGGACATAGTGTAACAAAAAGAACAATGTTCGGTTGAAATTAATTTTAAGTTTATTTTTTATTTAATAAAAAAAAATATGGGTACAAAATAATTTGAATATATTCAAATACTTAATATAATCTTTACTATTTAAGTGGAAATAATAATCAAATATTCAAATGCAAGCCCTAATAGCAATGCTTGAAGTGCACCAGTTTATTCAATCATATCCATATTGTTGTTTATGTACATATATATAATATAAAAATTTAGTTATATACTTTATGAAATATTTATTAATGTGATTGCTGTGCTCTTCAAGGGCTCATGGTGATTCTTTACCTTTAATAACTTAAGACCTATATTGTTACAACATGAAATAGCAATAAATGATTGAATTGAATTGAACAGATTACAGTTATCACTATCCATCAGGTGGACAGGTAGTTTGTCTGCCATTTAAAGTTGCATAAAAAAACATGTTTGTATGGGGAGAATGATAGAAGTAGCCACTTACCAAGCTTTTTAACACACAAATTGAAGTCTGTTATGAGATATGTATATTCATCAAGCTGTTTCATGCATGACAGGAAGCGTTCCTTCAACTCTGCTGGTTCACAATTTAACTTTTGTACAAACTCCTGAGCCTAAAAAGATATATATTATTGCATTATAAATTACAGAGGGAGTTTATAAATATTTTAAGCCATGGGTGGCCTTATCTTGGAAATATTTTCTGACAAAGCCAAATACAGCAATAAAGGATGTACTGTACAACTGTAGTACATGAGAAATGTGAGAAAGACATACTAATAGATATGGAAGGTAAAAATATATAGATAAATGACATATTAATACTGTTAAAACAGTAAAATAAGGATATGTTGTAATTAAGACATGGTGATTTAGCCACAATGGGACAATTAACCTGACTTTTTCATTTTATTCTTCTTACACAGCATTAGCAAAGATGGGTGTACATTTTATTTTTATGTAATAAAAATATCCACTTGTAAGACAATCAAATTTGCTCAAAGATTGCCTTGAAAATATTGCTATTAACAATAAGTAAGCCCTGCCTTGTGTCTGAGGGGATTATGTTATTAGCAGATTTTATACAATAACTTGTCTACACTTCTCAGCTTAACTTGTACACTATAGGATATTAGAAGTAGATTCATAAAAAATGACAAAATGCAGTGCTTACTGCATTATTTGTAAGTAATAAGTTATAACTAAGTTTACTTGTATAACATTAATGTCTTTTGTTATACAAAGATGGTTCTTTTTGGATGCTTTAAATGGTAAGCAAATTGACATATACATAGTATTTGGGATGAAGTACATTTTTTTAATGAATGTAAACTAAATAGTAAACACAGGCAGGTAATTTGACCCATCATGGTAATTTCAACAGGAATTAAACATGGTGGATTCTAAGGCATGCCATGTGGTGTTTAATATAATAGGATACATTATGAACAATTACTAACAATCCCTTTCTCCCTGAAGAAGGATTTAGGGCACTTTTGTCCCAGAGAATAAGAAAATGTTAGTCACAAACTAGTCAAATTAACTGATAAAAACTAGTTATTTATACATACAAATATTAATGATAATTAAGTATTTAACAAAGAAACAAAACTGATATGAAAAGGTGGTGCCCGTTTTGGTGGGTACTTCTCATAATTAAAAAAAAAACTTACCTGCACTTGCAATTTCTTTATTTCACTAATTGCATGTTCGCTTTTTTCTACAAAGATATTGATCCTTGCTTCTAATTCATTTCGTCGGTGAAAAGTTAAGGTTGCAAGATCTACGAAACTCCTAAAACGAAATTGTGAAATGCTGACATAGTTAAGTATTCAATTGTAAAAGGAAAAAATATTTTATTACATACATGTGCAAATTATGCAAATATTACAAAAGAAGGTCACTTACATTTTTGTTTGATTTTGTCAACTTTATCCGATGAGGATAAAATTGTTTTTTTGTGTAAAATAAAGTTTTAACACAGACAATAAAGTTTAAAAATTTCGCTGATGTCTAGTGATTACTAGTGTCTGATTAGACACCAAACAATTATCGTAGTGATGGGATTCGAGTTGTTTTTCACTCGAGTGACTCAGGTAGTATTTATATTACTTGCACTCGAGTTAAATATTCGATGACTCGAGTTTCGAGTGACTCGAGTCTATTCGAATTTCTAGTGACTCGAGTTGACTCTTACCACTCGAAGGGTTTATACCGAACCGAGTAAGAAATTAAAATTGTGACAAGTTTACTCGCTGTAGCAGGAAACTTTTAAGAGAGAAAATTCTTCCTGATGCTTATCATGTCGCACGCACTGTAATTGTAGATATTCTTCTTTTAGTTGAATATACGGCTGCTACAACAGATTTATGGACTTCTGACAGTAATAAAGCGTACCTAACTATTACAATACATTTCATTTATAATTCAAAACTTTTTTCGCAAACTATTACTACTAGAGAGGTTACGGAGGAACATTCTTCTATTATTTTAACAAGTGCTGAAGTCGATATTTGATGAGTGGCAAATTACAGAAAAAAATTGTGACAATAGTATTCGATAATGCTCCGAATATAAAGAAAGTTATTTCTGAATATTTAAGTAAGAGGAACCGCTACTGTGTAGCTCACACTTTGAACTTGGCAATCATTGACTGTAAGAAAACTAACCCTTAATTTATGGAAATTATAAAATAATGCCAATCCATAGTCACATATTTCAAACAAAGCAACAAAGCGTCTTACAAACTTATGGAAATGCAACGTACAATGGAAATGTATCAAATTAAAGCAAGATGTCCCAACACGCTGGAATTCTACATATTTAATGCTAGATAGAATGCTCAAAATTAAAACTGTTTTATCAGCAATTATGTCCGATATGGCTGGTTCATCAAATAATTTACAAAACTTTGAATGGGAAGTGGTCCAAGAATGCGTAGACTTTTTAAGACCTCTTGAAAAACCTTACTACAGCCTTATCCGGAGAGAAATGTCCAACATTGTCTTCAGTGATTCCTTTGATTAGAAATGTTCAAGAACTAAAAAGTCTATTAGATGCTGTTGATAAACGGTTAAGTATTTTAGACTCAAACAAAACTGCAGCTAAATTTACCTACTTGGATCCGAGATTTAAGAAAATTTTGTTTTGGCGTAGAATCTAATGCTGATAGGCCTATGCAATCCGTTATTGGTGAAATTGAATCTACCTCTGTATCCACAAATTCAAATAATATCAGAACAGAATCGGAGTCTTCATCGTCAAACTGCAACCAGAAAATAAGGACATGAATGATTTATGGGACCATTTTGATGCAAAATGTGTGCATGCGCTGATGTGTATTCAATGAAGAAACCGTTTGGTCTATATTTTTACATTTTGTTTAGATTTTTTTTGAGAAAATGAATACACATTTTCTATGTAAAATTATTATTGTTTTATTTGTTTTAAAATTTTAGTCACTCGAGTTTTATATTTCGAGTGACTCGAATCAATTAAAAATCACTAGAGTGTTATCTTCACTCGAGTGGCATTCGTGTGAGAAAGTTATCAGTACCGAGTGACTCGAATGAAAAAAATCACTTACATCACTAAATTATCGCTTGCTCGTTCAGTTGACTTAATTGTCAATGTCAATTTGACAGCTACGTGAAATTATATTATTCAAGTGAGTGAATGATTTTAGAGCACAAAGATTATAATAGCAGATATCAAACATTATGAGCAGATATGTATAGTTATTTACTACTGGCCAATAGATGGCAAAGCAAATAAAAGAAGAGCACTGCTCGTTAAAATAATTGTTTACTAGATGGCGGTACTTATATTTAAAGCATTAAATAATATTGCTTATCAAGCTTCTACTCTGGTGGACTAATTTTTAGCTGTTTTTCTAATTATCTATATTACTATATATTATATTATATTATCCATTTTTATTATACATTCCAATATTAAATTTTAATCGTACCTAATATTACAGATTACAATCACGTTTTTAATAATTTTAGTTTTATTTTAGTCAATTTTTAAATTACAACTGGGAAGTATTTTTCTGCTATAATATAAATATACACATGTACGTAGGTATTACTTACAAATTAATATACATGTATTAATTAGAAGACGTCCATTTTCAATTAGGTTTAAAAGCGAAAATATATTGTATGTAAAAATATATTTTATATAAGCATCATTACGAATCATTATGGACTCTTTATCTAGTTCTTTTACATTTTTATTATTAATAAAAAAAAAAATATCGTTATCATTTTTCAATTTAACCTTATAACACAATTTATACCATATACTTAGTCATAAATACCTATATATTATGGTAACCCTATTCACGTAAAATGGATAAAGTTGACCTATCGGTATACGCTGGCACCAGTGAGAGATGTTAGGAGAGGATGAAACATAGTGACAAATTCACATAAAAATAATCAAGATGATTTCTAAGGGGAATCTCTTCTATGTTCAAGGGTACCTATAGGGGTACTTATTATTATGCCAGAAGGTATTTCGTATACCTATAGAATAAAAGGAACGATTCAGTTTTATCTGGCTAAAGTGAAACGATCCCAAAGCAACTGTGCTCATTAGCCGGGCGGCCGCGAGTTACGCACTACGTTTCAATTAAAAAGACCAGCAAACTAAACAAGAGCCACGTAATAAATTCAGGATACCCCGCTCCCGCTCACTACTAATTGGATTCACGGGCCCGAACAACCAATTAGTGCGAGCGAGACCACCTTACGGGGTGTTATTTGGCCGGTCGTGGCTACAAATACATTCGCCAATTTACCTATGTTTTCATAACGTTCTATGTTTAAAATAATAAAAAAAAAATATAGAATATTCTCAATTTGAATTTTTAAACGTAAGTGAAAGATGGAACATTATGGCTGCTTATTTCGCACCCTGCCTTCTCTGAATCCTGACGATCACTTCTGTAGCGTGTACGGACTACGGACGGCCATATTGCAGTCGCTCGCGGCTGTGCGTACTGTTATTACTGTCGCGGGCGAATCGCGCCAGGCGGGGCGTTTAACTTAATTTTAGGTAATACTCCCGGACAGATACTTACGCTGATCGATGCTAATAGCTTTTATTGATATAGGGTAGGTGTTATTAGTTTACTAGCGAAGCTATGCGGCCGTTGTTAGTCGTCATAAATTGCGCTAATATCTCCATTTCGCGCGCTCGTGAGACCGTCAAATTGCAGGCTGTTGTGCGTTTTGAGTTATTTGATAATGCATAGGTATTTGTCAAGGTGGAAATGCCACGCTTAGAAATATCGGTGAAAAGTCACCGGTTAGGATACTTGTTTCGCCTTTTCATTTATAGATTTATGGCGCTCGAAAGATTTAAAGGGCAGGAAGGGAAGAAGAGAAATTTGTTATGACTGGTCAATTGACCTAACTTCATCCTTACTTTAATATAACAAAATTATATGCGGTTCCCTAAAATTCATTGACGGGCCAACTGAACTGGTTTCATCCTCACTTATCATCTCTCATTAGTGCTCCACCAGCCTATAAAAATTACTTACCATTTTCACTCATAAAAAAAGAATTTCATACTGAATTATCAACTCAGCTAGGTGGTACTGCAGGGATCTATCTGCTGTGATCGATAGGTAGGTATAGACAGGATCTATGCATTAGTTGCATGACACTAAAACAGTATTGTGCGTTGATAGAACCATTGCAAAAATAACAGGAACACTAAGAACATATGCCACTTTAATTTTCATCGAAACGAAAATACATATAATAATATTCATTTCGACATATACATATACATCATATATACATATTTATATAGATTTATTTGTAAACTCATATATATATGCAACTTAGAATGTCAAATTTAACTTCGTCATTGTCCCTCTACGGGGGTGGCCCATTTTATGCCGGGATCTTAGGCCACAAAAAGATCTTGGTGCCTACCTTTAGGTACCTAATCGCATTTTACTAATGTAAATTTTACTATTTGTATAGAAGTATTTACAAAACGTAACGGTAAGTTCCGGTAACCATATAACGATATTGTATGTTGTGCTTCAATACAAACTATTTCGTCCCGAGTCTCCCTCGGGTATTAGAAAGTTAGATTTTTCATACATAAATCAAAAGAGTGTCTTAATACAAGGTGTCACGGTACGTGTTATGTTCTTGGGTATTTAATACGTAATTAAAACGCTGAACACATCTTGAGGGTTTAATTTCGTCTAATTACGACTACAACTAGGAATCAGCGGTCGGAGCGGAGGTGTCAGTCAGCCCCTGTTGTGTTGCGTTTACAACAAGCCAGCTACTCTCCGTTCGTGTAGGCAAGTGATTAGTTATTTGTAGTTTTAGGTTATATTTAATTGTAATAGAGAATTTTCATAATAATTCTTATATTTCAGGAGGAATATATAGGATAGAATTCTTATATTATTTCTTATATTTAACCTATTGTGTAAACTTCGACCTATAAAATATATAAATTATGATCGGTCCTGAGGCACCACTTATTTAAATCTATTTCTTACCTAATATATTAGTTTGATAGTTTTACAAAATTACTATTTTATAGATCATCGTAAATTAAATTTATATTAATTTTGACTTAAATCTTTTAAAAATTTTGTATATATTGGTATTTGGCATGTAAACATTTAGCTATATCAAATTCAAATTTTAGCAGTAGGTTTAAAGAAATGGCGCCTCAGAACCACTTTATTGTCTGAAAATATTAGACATTATAGGTATTATATCTGTAGCTTTTTTATTTTTAGTTAAACTACAATTTATATAATATAATAGGCAGCGTTATGCCAATTTTTATTATGTGAAAGTGCATTTGTTTATTGTCTCTTAATACATTAACGGATTAACTTATAATTATGAAATTTTGGTATACATGTATTATAGGTTATTGAAAAGGATATAAGTATTTACTTCAGTTAGTGATCACACCCTGCACGAAAGCGCAAGTAAAATAACAATAAATTGTTTTACCGGTAGAGGCAATAGAGTCCGGACAATCTGAGATCAACTTTTCTGTTTATT